ACCTTAATGCATCTACAATGCTTTGCAATAAATTTTTACATAAAAACACGATTATGTGTATTTGGAAATTAATTTTCATTCTAAGGCCCAATTTCAGATGGCCTATTTCAGTAGAGATTGTTGATTAACTTAAAAAATTCGTTTTCAGATCACATACTTAATCTACACTTAAATGGTCAATATTGGCTATTTATATATGAGATATGCAACCCTGTGTTTGTATCAAACACTCAAGATTGATAGATAAGTTGCGTTCCCTAACTCGCAAGAAGTTGCAAGAATTTACCAGAAAGCGTTCTCGTACTCGGTTCTCTGACTTCTTTTGCTTTTTGACAGTTTAACAGTTTTTAACCCAGGAAAGTTGGCGAACGCAACTATAGGCTGTTTTATAGTTGTTTATAGTGGATCTCGTACTCGATTCTCTGACTTCTTTTGCTTTTTGACAGTTTAACAGTTTTTAACCCAGGAAAGTTGGCGAACGCAACTATAGGTTGTTTTATAGTTGTTTACAGTGGATCTGAAAGCCAACGAAAGTCAAATGCCATTTAAATAACAATCCAAAATTAAACTTAAGTGCCGTTTAAATATAAATTTGAAATTGGTCCTAAATGTTCAAGCCGCATTTAAATGCCCAATGATGGCTTTTTAAAATCTTCAACCTCGATTTTAAATACGAACTCATAATTATCTTATATGCCACACAATCCTTGATCTGAAATTGGCCCTTATCAATTAAATTGTATATTAATAATTTTATCTTATCTTATCCTTGTACTTTTGCTTTCATATTTCTTTTAAATCTCGAAATCCGCAAAGTAATTCATACAAACTTTAACAATTGAGTAGAAGTTTTGAGACTTTCGAGGTTTTCCAGCCATTTTCGGTTTAAGTAAATAACCCAAATATATGTATCTAAATATTTAAAAATTTTTTCTTAGACTAATTTTCTTTTGTAAACACTCTTAGTATTAGCAATGTTTATAAGTACAATAAATTGTTTTTTGTATCTTTTGTTTATACCCCTTTACATTTGATTTCCTGTTGCTATTTTTAAAAAATACGTATATTAAAAGTTCAGTTATGCAATACTTAGACTTGACTTGACTTACCTAGAAACTTAGACGCTATTACTCAGGGTGCCACCTATGACATTTTCTCTTTGTTTTGATTCTCAGCACTTGTAAAATTGTAAACGTTTAATTTGCTTTTACACCAAAATTGATAAAAAATTACCATTAAAATAAATGTACATATTTACACGTGTCAAATTGTGATTTTTTTATTTGCTTTCTGTCTTTGTTTGAAGGTTTGTTTTTCGATTGCCAGGTGTACAATTTTCAAGTCAAGTCAAGTGAAGTCTAATGGCTGGTTTCTCCAACTCAATTTAACTTAGTTTAGCCACTTTTTGGACTTAAGTCAAAAGTTAGCCTACGTTTTATACAGCTTATTCTTGACTAGGTCGAGGAAATTGACTTAACTAAGTGAAGTTGAGTTGGAGAAACCAGCCCTAAGTCTGGCATAACTGAGCTTTAAGAAAGCCATATAATTTGACGCATGATAAAAATATAGTAAGGACGAACCGCTGAGATTCACTTTTAAAATTCTAGCTGTTTTCAAGCAATTTAATTTTTAAATTTACTCACAAACACACACAGATATTTTCATTTTCTATCTCAAGAAACAACAATTTCGAACAATTTAAATTCTGCCTTATCCTGAGTTTCGCCAAAAAAAAATGCACCCGAAAATTTTTCATCCGCCTATAGTAAATACATGGAAACGGAAAGTGAAAAGTGAACCGGTTCGGCGAAAATGATACTCATGATAAGTCTAATTTTTTATTTTCAATTTTGGGCGTGTGTGAGTTCTATTGGGAAAGCTGTTGAATAATATTTTTGCTATGGTGAGACAGTTTTGCCAATCTGCTGTGTGAAATGAAATTTTTTTGACAGCAGTAATTTTTTGATAACCGCAGATTTATGCGGAATAAAATATTACAAATTGAAGTGAAATTAATATTTTAAGAAAACATCTACCATCGTTGATTGCAATGCATCAATTTAAGATTTATTTAACGAAAAATTACACACATCAACAATAGGAGTGTTCGCTATGCAACTGCCAGTAAGAATTAGCCAGTAACAAAATTCGGAGAACAAGGTACCTTACGCTCCCAAAGAGAGAAACTTACTAAGTTTTGCGCGAACAGGAATTAGCAAACATTAGCAAGCTTCACTGCCAGCTGGCGTCCACAGTTGCATTTCAGGCATAATACATTTTTTAAATTATTTCAGGTAGAAACCAAAACAGGACCTATACGTATATTTCTACTTATTCTGATTTTCTTCAACATACGCTTCAATTTCATTGTGGAAGTGACGGTCGGATTTCCTATATCGACAGAGGTGTCGAGTGCGTTCCAATTGCGAATACAGCTTTTTCAGCCGAGTACCTTTCAAATGTTTGGAATTAATTAAATTAATTGAATAAACGAATATTTACATACTTCTTTTATTAATAAATCGCAANAAACTTGCAAAGTAGGGGAAATTGAGAGAGCAAAGTGACATTTCATTTTGAGGGGAAGCTGCTGGTTTCTGTTGGAAAAATTTTTGCCAACAAAATGCGACTAATTAAACTTGTAAGAAATAAGTAGTTATTTGTTTAATCAATAAACTGTGTCAGTATAACACTTTGTGATGACTTTTCGTATGTTTTAATTTTACACTTTTGAATGTAAACAAAAATTATATCAGCTGTTCGTCTAACTTGCAAGTTTCAGCAAATTTTCTGTTCGCGTACTATTTGGGATATTTTTCTCTTGTGAGAGAACAGATGACATTACGCCGGAATTTGGCAGTTTGTTGGTTTTTACTGAAGATGTTAAACGAACGCACCTTCTAACTGGCAAAAATTTTCCCAGCACGAATTTGCAACTTCCCTTCCAAATGAAATGTCAAAATTGTGCTCTCTCCTTTCAACGATTTGGTAACAATTCGTACCAACTTGTACAAATTGTTTGCCTAGCGAACACTCCTAATCTTTGCGATAGTCAAAATTTTCTATGCATTTGTCAAAAATTTCCCTAGCCTCATGAGCTACTGAAATTTTATTCACCTCGTAGTTGTCAAAAATTTACTCGCCGCGAACTTTGTTACCGATTCACACACGCTCTTTATATGATTTATATGATTCTGGCAAACATAAAAATAATCATGTCCGACAAATTGAGAGAACGGTTCTACCTTGCTATGTTTTTATCATGATTTGACGTTTGAGTTTGCTTGAGCTTTCGGCATCGTCATCCTTTGCTTACAGCGCTAAATGAGCACAAAGTAAAAAGTCGCTATAGCTATTTTCTCAATTCGGATGTTTTAGACCGACAGACATTCGTAATTAATAATATTGAAATACAATAAATTTGTTGAAAAATATATTAGAAACTTAATTTCAATTATTCGAAATAATTTCGAGGCAAGTTGTCAGTATGGATTCTGGACTGTATTCTCTTTGTGCTATCGATAACAATAACTAGATATGTATGCACATAATTACTGGAATCATATTTGTATGATTAATAAAAATTTGATAAAAATAGGAAAGGAAACAATTTACATTAAACAATTGTTTAATATGATTTATTAGGCCAAAACACAATAAAAAACCGAAAGCAATTAACGTTTTTTGCATGTTTATATATATATATTTTTTTTAAATAATATTCGGGAAAGATAGAGCGCAGACGCGCGTGCTATGTGCAAACTGTTCACGGAGGAAAACAATCTCAAGCGATGATGGCAACACACAAATTTGAAATTTTCTTCATGTATACACAGTGTTGGGTAAAACTAATGCGAAAAACGCTCAGCCAAAATTGATTACTATTTGAAAAAGAAAAATAATAAACTTGGATAAAAAATTGTTTGTAAATTATTTATTTTTTATTCAAAAATGGCATATGTATGTATACATACAGATCGTCACCTGGAATGCAAAAAGACGTAACAACACCGTAAATGAAATGGAAAAAGTCGTGATTTTTTTTTCATAAAATGATGTGGCGAGTTGTAATTCGATGAAATCCATCATATGAATCAAAAAGTGAATTTGGAATTTTTTATTTGTTATGACTTTTTGCATTTCAACGATGATGTTTGTTACGTGTTTTTTGCATTTTAGGTGACGATATGTATGTGTTGTGTGTATGTACTATAAGCAATTTATTGAACTTGTTCCTCCCAATACTGTATATACAAAAATGTACGTACTCTAACTGCACATCCTTTGGTTTTATTTGCTCCATTTCTTCAATTCTTAATTTATATCATTAATTGTTCGGGAACTTCTATAAGTACTTATGCTTTCAATCTTCACTTCCGCTGTTTGCTTGCAGTTTTTGTGTAGTCTCCTACTAAAATACACACAAAAAAAAAAACAAAATAAGTTCAGTTTTTTTTTTTTTTAGCTTTTTGTTTAAATTTGAGTTAAAAAAGTTGTTTGTTTATTTTCCTTTGTTTCGTTTCTTTGTTTGACACGCCTGCGTTACGTTCATTTGTTATCTGCAAATCAAATCAAACCAACTCAAATGAATCTAATAAAAACAACACCCACACGAAATATCCAACTTCAAACTGGCCACAAACAACATGAACTGCTCAATCAAACTTTGTGTATCTTCGTTATATGCTACCCGTTTTGTACCTCAAATCCTGTATACTATAATTACCTACTTACATAAATCCATTCCCAACAATCAACCATCCCAACGAAATACTATCCCCATTCATCGATCTGTGCGCCCATTTTTTCGGTTATTATGCGTTTGTTTGTTGTAAAGACGGTGCCTACAGTTTCTTACAATACTTCCTCCTCCACTGCTACTTTTAAAACACGCTGGCGTTATGGACGGAGACAGATGGCCGATAACCAGAATGAGGATGAGCAGGCGCAGTTGCTGGGTGAAGAAGGCGTGCGCGCCAGTCAGCCGGGACAAAATTTGAAACTTGGGTAAATATAAAAAAAAAGTTGCATCTCAACTCCGCAACAACCATGCTTTCATGTTGTATAAAAAATATTACAACAGAAAACTCGGATCAACGAAATGATATTGATGAAATATTTACATACATATGTTATTCTTTTCAAACAAGATTTTTACTGCAAAAACTAAACTCAGTTGTATCGTTGTGCCAAGACTCAACGAACCGGGTCTTAATTTCATGTCGAAAGTGGGAACTTTAAACCGCCAATTACTCGCTTCAACTTACTCATCTTAATGCACTTTTGGGCACAATGCACGGCCAAATACATAATCTCTATCTGATTTTATAATGATTTCGTTCCTTGATAACTTTAGTACTTGTGTTTGTTTTTGTTATTATTTGATCTACATATATGCTTATTTGTGGTGCATTGCTTAACTGTTTGTCAAATTTTGTTGTATCATTTACATTGTACTATAATATTTTTGTACATATTTATGTCCCACTTTCTGTAAGTGCGCTTTAGACTGCTGCAAAATATTTGAATATATTTTGAATCTAAATAGTTGGATAAGCAGCTTAACTTGTGAAATTTCGCCAAAGCTTTTGTCAACTAGACATAAAATGCATACACACATACATACATACATACATACAAAATCACATATCATACATAATGTAAATATATGTGTGTGCGCGCGTTTGATGATATCCTTGATCCTATTTCCTAAAGTTCCATGGTCGCTCTACCTATACCGTGTCAGTCCTGTCAGTCGTGCTGCAGCAATCGTAAACTGGTGTTGGCATTTAAAAATCTTTGTTATTAAAACATATATATGAAACATTTATGAAACCTAAGCGGAAAAGAATATAGCACCGAAAAATGCACATATAATTTGTTGGCATTTGATAAAGTCACAATCACATCCTCCCATTTATGTACATATGTACTTGATACATATCGCATATTCAATCAAATCTCCGAAATATACACATCAGTCTTGAAAGTGTTGGTTATTGGATCGCGCAAATGGTTAAGGCTCCCAGAATATTTGCATTAGTCTTTAACTTTAAATGTTACACTAAATCCTTTGCTAAAATTATTGCTAATTCAACTACTAATATCAATTGGAAAATAATACTTAACTATGGTGATGGTGCTTAGGCAGTGCAGGCCAAATACTACATACATACGTAAATGTAATTATTTTAATTATTTTGCTCACTCTTACAATTACACCTACGTATATTCTCAAATGGCATTCGAATACTTAGCATACGATTTGTATATTTCTTAAAATTTGTAGCAGGAGGGTGGTCTCAATACCACAACTGAGTCGATGACACGCGCATTAATCACCGACGAAGTGCGAACTGGCCACTCGATGGGTCCAGTTCAGCTTGGGTATGTATTGTATTGCTTTATTAAGAAATCAATGCCAATGGCTTAATCAATTAAATATAAAACAAAAAATACATATACTCAATGGCTCAAATGCTAAATAATATGTGTGTACATATGTATACAGTATGTAACAAAATTGAACAAATGAAACTATTTACATACATGTGGATATACAGTTACTCCCAAAATTGAGCGTGCGGCTCTTGCTTTGTTAATATTCGCAATGTTTTAGATGCTAAAATTTTTGTAATTTTGTATTAAAATATGGCTTATATTTCAGCGAACTCCATTTAAATCCAAGAATGATACTGTATAGAAAAATTAAGGAAAATCTGCAAAGTTTCAGCAAAATCGCCAACTTTTTAATACGAATTTCTAAAAAGAATTCAGGTACGCAGTTTCATAGCCCATTAAATTTCAATATAATAATGTGCAAATTTCAAATCTCTAAAAAATTGCGTTGGTTTTTGACAATTTCAGATTTTTTTTTCAGATTTTTTTATATGGAAAAAAAATTGCGTAGGACAGCCAGCAAAAAAAAGTTCTGAACTAAAACGATGAATCCGCCTTAAGAATATGTATGTTCTTATTTGAAAAACATTTTTTATTGCTGTCAAAAATTTTCAGCCCAAATACATAATTGTGTGGTACCAATGAAGACTCAGAAAAATGGTTTTGTGCGTACCAGCAATTTTTCCCTGCACTCTCACTTGGGAGCATAATTTTGCTATTTGACAATTCTACAGGCTTGCATCGTGTCATAATTACAGTAACAGCTCTTCCAAAATATTAAAATGTGGTTTTTGTTGTGTCATAGCAATCTACATAAATATTAAAGAAAATTCATGAATACAGTTTAATTTGCTCAATTCTGCTACATATTGTATACATATGTATGTATGTATGCCTTGCTCAAAACGTTCTCCGCTCAGAATAAAAAAAATCGCACACATTCTACAAAAGCGTGTTGACTAAACATTGTTAATTTTAAATCTTATCTACTTAACATATTCATAGTTTAGACATAGGCACATGTATATCTCTCGTTTGCCAGAAAAAACGCTTTCAAGTTTTCTTCAAAACAAATATGTAAATAGCAACTAAAGGTGGCCTCAGACAGATGCGATATGATATCGTATTTTATGTGATAACGATAAAAAGTAAAGGCCCTCGAATTAGTGCGATACGATACACTGCGATATGACCCAAGATTGCTGGCAGGCTTTCTTAGGTGATTAGTAATCAAAAATCTGCAACCCTAAAATGGAAAAGTGATTCATATCGTGCGATGTTGTTGTTGTTGTGGCGGCACTACTAAGCCCCGCCTATTTCGGTTCGTACTTCAATCATTGTTTCAAGCTCAACTAATAGTAAGCCCAGGGAACGGGCAGTTTCAATATGGTCGGACCAATAAGGTCGGGCTGTTAGTTGAGTGAGATTAAGCTGGTATGTAAAGAGTTGGTTGATGTCGTGCGTAAAGTCTCCACATGCCGGACACTCATTGGGGATATTGGGGTCGAGTCTGAACAGGTAGCTGTTGAATATCCAGACCGTAACTGGGCCATGGTAATGCGGGCCTCTAATGGCAGTTAAAGCTGTGGTAGGGTGGAAGTCTAAATGTCTCCTGGTAGCGTGGAATAGCAGACGGTGTCAAAACGCCTTTAACAAGCCCAACGCTACTAGGAATCTTCTCTCACATGGGCCACGAGTTATTTGGTTGTTTATGGCGTTAAGTGCTGTGCACTTTACGGAAACCATGCTGATGCTTCGCTGGGGCCAGGTGGTGGGTGAAGTACGGGGGTTGCAGGGTCTCTTTGTTGGCGGGTTTCTCGGTTTTAACTGTGGAACCACTCTCCCTGATATCCACACATTAGGAATGATGAGACGGGCCAATGACAGGTTGAGAACCTCCTTTAGGTATGCTACTCTCGCGTGACCCAAATGTTTCAGCACCAGCATGCAGATTCCGTCGGGTGCAATGGCTTTGGAGGCTTCCACCCTCCCGATGCCCACCTTCACTTCGCCGCTGGTGAAAGTAAGTGGTGCACTATTTTTAGGTAGTTTGTGCAGCCTCCTGGTCACTCGACGTTTGGCTCTGTCTACCGAAGTATGCAGTGCGAACTGCCGCCTAAAATAGCGCGCGCATTTCTTCGAGTCCGACGATGTGCGACCATCGAATGAAATTTCCACTCTGTCGTCGCGGCTCTTTGGGTTGAACAGGGACCTCACGGTTGACCAGAACTTACTCACACCAGAAGCGAAGTTACGGATTTCAAGCGCTCACTTTTTCCGCTTATGCTGATTTAGCAGTTGCTGTATCTCCAAATTATGGTCCTTCAGGCGAGGATTCCCGGGATCGACCTGGCGTAAGTGGTTACGATCATTTGCTAGAACAGCTGCTTCAGCCGGGAAATTTGAGCGGACTTCCGCGATGCATCCGGATAGTATGAAGCGAACCGCTGCGGCAGTGACTACCCTGCGGAACTGCCGTTCGCCAGCGTGTACGTCTTAGGGTGTGGGAGGACGGCGAAGTTGGTTCGGTGGTCCGCGGAAGCAAAGTCGGTAGGCTTATTGATCGATATGGTTATGGGCAGATGGTCTGAAGCCAGCGTTAGCATAGGTCGCCATGTTATGCTATTTATCAGACCAGCGCTGGCAATTGTTACGTCTGGCGAGCTGCTGCAGTTCCTCACAATCCTGGTGGGGGCGTCGTCGTTGATAGTGCAGAATGTCAAATCGTTTATCTGCTCAGCCAATAGGTTTCCCTAACGATCATTTTACAGTCTTCAGTGCTAAAGGTCGTGGTGCGCGTTGAATTCACCTACTACCATTCGGTTTTAACCTCTGAGTAGCGCACAGCTCCGGACAGCTATGCCCTGACATTCTAGGGAGGTGTCCCTCGGAGTGATATCTTCTTTGTTTAGACTATACTGCACTGCACAGATGGTGTGGGCAACCAAGAGCTTCTGGTTGGCTCGCACACACGAGTTGGAGCGGCTGGTAGAGTGGTGTGAGAGGTGAGGGGGTAGGCAGGCTTGCTGTTGATCACGGGAGCTCCTTGGAGATGTGCAGGCTCTTGGGATTCTAGTTCGCACCTGCGCGTTGCGCGAGCGGGTAGCCGTGGAGGCGGATGGTGTCGTTTGACTTGAGCAACAGAAGCATGTTTCTGGTACGGGGTTGGGCTCAATGACCGTCCGGAGAAGAAAGGATGCGGAGCAATCCGGCTGAAAGGTATTGCTCCATGCACGTAAAATGATGGGGTTCACCGATCTATACCCGATCTAAACGGGGTTAGTTCGCCGAAATAACAGTCCTTGGTAAAACCCGAGTCATTCCCATACGTAGAACCGGCTGTCGTGCGAATGAAACGATCAATTTTGCTTGCTGCGGTACAATTTTTTAACGCATTGTATCACAACGGTATACCGCATCTGTTTGAGCACTCCCGTATACCGCAATGGTTTGTATTGATGACATATCGTACATTTTTGTATTGTTTTCGTTACACCCGTCACAGTGACTGAAAGTGAAGTGTAACTGGTTTGGATTAAATTGTTTTTGAATATTTTTTTTCTACCCAGCCAGCAAAATCGTCGTAAACAAGGTCGTAATTGGATATTTTCTCGAAGAAAAACCGGATTACAAATCGTTTATGATAGCCGTTTACGACTCTTTTTCGAGCACTTTTTCGCTTTAAATTGTGCATCGTCTACGAACAGTCGTAAACGGATCGAAAAAGCATTCGTATGCGAATATTTTTACGTCCGTTTTTTAATTGTAAACGAGTCTCGTAAACGATTAATTTACGTTAAAAATGCGTTTTTTACACTGCTTTATCTACTGTTTTTTAATGCTAAAAATAAAGGCAATTAATTAATTCAAATTATTTAGTTCTTTTATTGAATGGAATTATAATTAATAAATATTTATAGTGCCGGATCAAAGTATTGGCACATAAAATTTTTCGCAATGTATGAAAATTTTTTACTTGAATTTCTTTTCGCAATTTTTTTTTTTAGTTAGTATGAAGACCTACTTTCAAATCAGATTTTTGGGAAAAATTCTAAGTATGCAGTTTTATATCCCATTATATTTTAGTATAACATAGTGCAAGCTTGAAGTTGCTAGAAAACCGCGTTGATTTTTGGCAATTTTTTCACGCAGTTTCTTCCCTGCAAATTATGTGCGACATTTTTTTTTTTGTATGAAAGAAACTGCGTATAAAAAATTGCCAAAAAACAAAGAGGTTTTCTAGTTATTCAAGCGTGCACTTTATTATACTAAAATTAAATGGGCTATAACACTGCATACTTGGAATTTTTCTAAAAAATCTGATTTGAAAGTAGAACTTCATACTAACCATATTTTTATAAAAAACAATTAGAGAAGAAATCAGAATAAAAAACTTTGCATTCATGTCGAAAAATTCTCTGTACCAATATTTTTTCCCGGCACTGTATATGTGAAGATATTTTCAGATAAATAAATATTAACAAACTATCTATTAACAAATTAACAATTAAATAAGAAGGGTTTAATATATATTATAAAGTAGCTGAATTTATTTTTTATCCTTTTTGCCGATAGGCTGCCAATTTTTTTTGCCGGTTTTGAAACGGAAATAAAAACTTCTTCGTCGGAGTTAAATTTTTGACGAAAAGCTCCTAAGAAAATAAAGTGAAAGATTAAACTCCATTGGAAATCGGAAAATTTAATTAAGTAAAAAGTGTTAATAAATAATATTATTATCCGTACTTCTTATTGCCGCAGTCGTTGCCAAACCAATAGCGCTATAGGGGAATTAAACGTTTACATGTTTACATCCTTTAGTGTTGCTCCGCGCAGCCTGTGAAAGAATTGCAAAACTCGTTAAGTTAATTTGTATTTTTGAATTACATATGTAGTAGCTACTTACAAGAAGTTTAAATATAAAAGAAAGTGGTAGATCGTCCTTTGCGTTTGCACCAGTCTGCCAATAAATCACATACTTAATAATTTTCTTAAATTAAAAATTTAACAAACTACTTACTTATAAAATATTGTGATTGAAGAAAAATTGTCAACAAAACTAAAATTTTTTCTTGTGCTGACAAATTACTACAAGCCTCTTTCTATTATATTTTTTTGTTTTATCGTTTACGAGCTTTTCTCTAACTTTTTGGTGATACGAGAATCCCTCGTAAAACATAATGTTCGTAAAATGTACGTTTTCTTGCTGGCTGGGTAGGCATTGTGTAAGCCGCGCAAACCTATTAGAAAATACTCGTTTTAAAGATTTTTATATTACAGTTTAAGAATTAAGCCTTAAAATGTGAGTTGAAATCTCACACTCGTCACCGTGGAATGAGCCATCAGCGATCAGTGAATTTTCTGAAATTTTTTAACTATCGAATGCTATTACATTAACAAAGACAAAGGAATAAAGCGAAGTAATGACCTATCCGTGGTAAACTATACTAAAACCTATGTTGTAAAATATATTTTTAAACTATACTATCCAATTAAATTTGTTAATAAAGTTCTGCACGGAGAACGTTTGAGCCACGTTTGTAAATAGCCTATTGACAAATTTATTCTACAAACACTAGGTTTATGACTACACAATAGTACACACACTAAAGCCTACTAAAACAGCTTTTAAACAAAATTATTAAGTGCATAATATAAGGAAGTGTTAAAATATCATTTAGTGTCCTTAACATTTTTTGTACTAAAATAGCTTTCTTTTCTTACTGTTGATATGCTGCTATTGCATTTTATGCGTATTGGTGCTTCAGCTCAGCGTTACTAATGCTTAAAGCCGCTTATGAAAGCGAATAATTGAATAACTTAAACAAGGATTAAGCTTAAATTGTTGTATCAAAAACTAAAAGCATGCCTTTCATAAAAAGGGGTAAACAGAAACGCAGTCACATTGCTCTTCTTGTTTTTAAATTTCTACCGTTCGGTCGCCTAGAAATTACATCACAACACTTACAGGGCAATTATGACTAAGATAGGAAGATAAATGAAAGACAGATGACAAGATAGTTCGAAATACTTTTGTTATTCTAGCACAAGTCTTAGAAAAAAGCTTTCTCATTCACCACTCGTGGTGAAAAGTTATTTTCTGAGAAAGCACTTGTATGTACTTACATATATCATTTAGCTAGCGTTGTTCCAACAATCGAGTGTCCGAGTGAGCAAAGCGCAGGCGTGCCATCCGAGAGACTCCAGTTCAATTGTCTTTTAATGCTGGCCAAAATGTGCACATTGTGCAGTTTCGCCTTCGTGTTTTCACACCAACGCTAACGCGCCTGGTATACACGTATACAGATGTTTTATTATTCGTGTGACCGGCACTGTTTAAGATTATATTGTTTTAAAATGATACAAATATATTTCTGATTTAATTTATTTTTTAGAAACTGATTTTATGTCAATTTTTAATGTAATTTTTTTCTTTCTTAATTTAATTTTCTTTTAATGTTTTTTAAGTTATGTATGTATATATTTTATTTTAAGATTTTAGTGTTTTAAAAATAAAATCTCTTAATATTTTTTTTTTATTTTACTAAACTTATTTTATTTATTTTTAAATTAATTTTTTTCATTTATTTTTTAGAAACCGATTTTATGTAATTTTTTTCTTTCTTAATTTAATTTTAATTTAATGTTTCGCTGTTATTGCCTTAAAAAGAAGAATATTTTTTATTTCACTTAATTTTTAGGAATATAATACATTTTTTCTTTTAATTATTATTTTTTATTTTTTAGTTATTTATTTTATTTTTAAATTTTATTGCTTAAAAAAGAAATTATTTTTAAATTATTATTTTTTTCTTTTTTGTTTTCTTAACTTAGTTTATTAATTTTTAAATTAATTTGTTTCTCTTTTGTTAATTTTATTTTCTTTTAATTGTTAGATTTTATTGTTTTGAAAAGAAAAATAATTTTTCATTAATTTAATTTATTTTTCCGACCTTACTTTACTTGTTTTTAATCGACTTCACAAAAAGGAGAAGATTATCAATCCGTCGGAATATTTTTATTTATTTATTTTATTTTTTTTTTATGTATGTTACCGCATAACTTTGGATTTCTTTAATTCTCTTATTAAAGGAAAGTTTTAAATCAGATCATTGGATTATGAAGCAAATAACGATAATCTTTAATTTTTATATGAGAATTGAAGTCGGTTTTGTTTTTTGATTAAAAATTACTTGTTATTTTATTTTTTGTTATTTTTGTTTTGTTTCAAAAATAAAATATCATCACTTTATGTGCTGGGTAGGAGCTATTTCGGCCGTTGAAATTAAAGCGAAAATATAATTTTCCTTTTTTCTCCTACGCGTTTCAATGCATTTTGCGTCTTCCTCAGGGAGTCTGCTTTATTTGAACGATAAACAATAAACAATAAACATGGTTAACAATAACTATTACATACTCATCAAATTTGAAACTCAACAGCGTCGCTTTAATTCCAACGGCCGAAGCAGCTCCCACCAAGCACACAAAATTTTAAGGAATTTGGCCCTATCAAAATAAGTATTTTTATTTTATTTTATTCTTAAGTATGTACTGTATGTACTTTTTTTATTTATTTTTTCTTTTTCTAATTTTATTTTTAAATTGTCTTAAAAAAATTATTTCATTTAATTTTTAAAGATATTGTTACTTATTTTTGCTTTATTTTCATTTTATTTTATTTAATCTTTTTTTAATTTAATTTGATTTTCTTTTATTTACTGGTTTTTATTGTTAATAAAATATACATGCATATTCTTTTAATTTAATAAAAAAAACGTATTGCTAAAAGGCGAACAGCTTAACGATAAGACCTCCTCGTTGGCAGATCTTTGAATTAGTCTTTCGAAAGACAGTAAAGAGCTTTCAAGACAGTTGCCAGAATTGACAATTGTCTTACGAAAGAACTTTGTCCTCATCGCAATTATCGAAATTCCAATTTTTAAACAGTGTATGTGTTACGCGACCTCAGCCATAATTCTTGTCTTCGGAGACCTATAGTCGAATTTAGCGGAGCTTTTTGAGCCGGTTTTGAAAAAATGTCAGCTTGAGTGATTAATGGTTTCATAAAAATTTTAAGCACCAAATTTAACTAGGGGTCACCGAAAAACAAAGGGGTTTCCTACGTATACAAAGTTTGGAATGCAATGGGGCAAACACTTTCTGTTTTTCTAATTGCGAAGTTATAAGAATATTATTCATAAAAAATACTGTTTCGCACATTATTTTTTTTCTTTTGCTTGGATAATAGCACTACCATTCTTATAAGAGCTATCCGCCTTTATGCACCGAGCCTCGTACATTTTTAACGGGCGTTATATCCGTGAAATATATACGAGAAATACAAAATTTAATTGAATTCGAAAAAAATAAACTTCTAAGTTATGCACTTCACACCAAAAATATAGTAATAGGTACCCATAAACACAAATACAAAAGTAAACAGAAAAATAACAACAAATTCATAGAAAAAGTTAGCCAATTGAATAAATTCTGCAATACTATTTTTCCATTCCATATACTACACTTACATTGGCGCTCAAAATGAGCTTGCTTTTAGTTACCTGGATAAGATCAATGAGCGTGAAGATTATCTCCCATGGTTTGTACTAAAAAAAAAAAAACATTACAAAAATTTTATTCAATCAGTTAAAAAGTGAAATTCATTTTGTTAAAGTCTGAAATGCATTGTTCCCATAGTAAATTGTAGACGCACGCAAGTCCCGAATCGTGTACACATTTCGCTCATAGTCAGTTGTCTTGCTCGCCTGATTGTTTGTATGTTTGTTACATACATATGTACATATGTATGTATGTGCAATGTCTTTACGTATGTATTCACATATCCATAGTACGTAAGGATCACCACCCAGCCACCCACATCGCCAAGTGTCGGACGACCAGCGTCCAGTTATTTTTTTAGGGTAAATTTTTCGCATGCGCAGTTGATTACACTTCATTATTAATACATATTGTAGGCGCACACATATTATCTATATATCATTTTATTTTAAGAATTCTTATTTTTATTCAAATTTAAGTGCGCATGTATGTACGTACATATGAGCCAAGCTAAATTTTCCATTGCACCATACCTACATATTATTAATTTATTAATCACATGTTTGCTGATCACGATGTTATTTACGTAACAATTAAAAAAAAGAAGAAAACAAACAAGACAGAAAGAAAGAAAAGAATATGCTTTAAGCGTAGCATTAGCGTTCGGCCACGACTAATTTTTTTGAGTTTAGTTTTTGCATTTGTAAATAATCAACATTTCCATTTGCGTTAATTTATATATTTTTTTTTATATATTTTTATGTATTTATTTTTGGTCCACATTATCAATTGTATACTTTTTTTGTTTTTTTTTTGTATATATTTTAATGGAATTTTTCTTTCATACATATGTTCTGAATAAAGCTTTGTTGCTGGTGTCATTTTGCGCGAGCGTTTGGCCGCATTCGAGCGGATGTTATGGCGCGCCTGTCGCGGAAATGTTTTTTTGCGTCAAGCCATGATTGAGTCACCGCTGGAGGATCCGTCTAATGTAAGTAAAAAAGAAGAAAAAACTAAAAACAAAATATAGCTTAAAATACTACATACCTACTTAGTAGCTCATGCTCAAACATACCAATGCCCTTTGTATTTTGATTAAAAATATTATCCTATATTGGTTTCCGGTGTCACCTGAAAATACGGCTTAGGGATCCTAGCTGGAAATTTTGTCTGATATTGATTGATTGTTGTTCCTTTCTTCACAATCTAATTTCCTTCAATTCCAATTTGTACCGGAACCTGGAGAACACAAGCTCGATTGGTCAGGCCAAGAGTGTTCAGGCACTCGCATCACCAGTTTAACTTTAACTACCTGATGATATCGGCCGGTCATATTCGGATTCCATCAGTTTCGCTTGATATTGAAGTTCACGCATCTTTCTATAGCGTAGAAAAATGGATTCTCATATCGCACATTTGCTGCCAGAGTGCGATAATAATAAATAGAAATAAAAGAATAAAAATAGAAAATCTAACATGTTTTCGCTTCCTGAAAGCAAACCTTTACTAGTTAATTTATGATTTTAACAATGGTCCATTGAAAAACATCTTCCTAAGACTAAAATCTGGACGACTTAAACTAGCTTCCAGCTGCGTTTTTCTCGAGTTTGCTTACTTTTGTATATCGTCGTTTAAAGTACAAAACCGCGTAACTGACATTGGCAGCCAAAAATTGGATTTGCTCACACAAGCTCTTGGCTCGATCCTTATCCATTCGTCCTGAAATATACTAGGCAGAAAAGCGATTTCTTTATAAAAAAGAGAACCATTTTAAATAATGAGTGTTTTTACACTCTAGAAAATAATTTCTACAACTTCACATACGCGGTTTTGCAATTTGCTGATACGCGGTTTTGCATTTTGTTGATACGCGGTTTTGCACTTTAAACGACGATATACGCTTGTAGATACATATGTATGTACCTAAATTAACATCCAAACAATTTTTAATATTTCTCTTTTTAAAATTTACGCAGGGAGATCAGGTGTACAAATCTGTGTTTATCATATTTTTCCAAGGTGACCAATTGAAAACGCGGTCAAGAAAATTTGCGAAGGCTTCCGCGCTACTCTCTACCCTTGTCCTGAAGCACCGGCTGATCGTCGTGAAATGGCTATGGGTGTTATGACACGCATTGAGGATTTGAATACTGTGCTCGGTCAGACACAAGACCATCGTCATCGTGTTCTGGTCGCTGCTGCTAAAAATTTGAAGAATTGGTTTGTCAAAGTGCGTAAAATCAAAGCTATTTATCATACATTGAATCTGTTCAATTTGGACGTTACACAAAAATGTCTTATTGCTGAATGCTGGGTACCGGTGCTGGACATCGAGACCATACAACTGGCATTAAGGCGTGGTACAGAACGCTCGGGTTCATCGGTGCCACCGATTCTGAATCGCATGCAAACTTTTGAAAATCCACCGACCTATAATCGGACCAATAAATTCACGAAAGCTTTTCAGGCCCTTATTGATGCATATGGCGTTGCCGCTTATCGTGAAATGAACCCAGCACCCTATACGATTATAACTTTTCCCTTCCTTTTTGCTGTGATGTTTGGTGATCTCGGACATGGCACACTTATGGCACTATTTGGTCTATGGATGATACGCAAAGAGAAAGGCTTGGCTGCACAGAAGACCACAAATGAGATATGGAACATCTTTTTCGGTGGACGTTACATTATATTCCTAATGGGTGTATTTTCCATGTATACTGGCCTGATTTATAACGATATTTTCTCAAAGTCTTTGAATATATTCGGATCGCACTGGCATGTCAACTATAACAAGACAACGGTGTTAAGCAATAAGCATTTGCAATTAAATCCTGGCACTGCTGATTATGAAGGAGACCCTTATCCGTTAGGCATGGACCCCGTTTGGCAGATAGCCACATCGAATAAGATTATCTTTCAAAATTCGTACAAAATGAAGATCTCAATCATATTGGGTGTAATTCATATGATTTTCGGCGTCTCGTTGAGTCTACACAATCACACCTACTTTAAAAACCGAAATGCTCTGCTCTATGAATTCATACCACAGTTGGTCTTCTTGATTATGATGTTCTTCTATTTGGCACTTCTGATGTTCATCAAATGGAATAGATATTCTGCATTTAATGAGCGTAAGTACATAAAGTTGCTCTGTTTTGTAGATATAAATATGTGTCTTAACATCTCACAACTTAGCTTAATTTAATATCTTTTTTTCTTCATACAATTATTTTACATACATACAATATTTTTTATATTTATTAGCTCCCTATTCGGCTGGATGTGCTCCTTCGATTTTGATTACTTTCATTGATATGGTTTTGGGCAATACACCCAAACCTCCAGTCGGCAAGTGCGAAACCTACATGTTTGCTGGCCAGTCGTTCTTTCAAAAACTGTTCCGTTTTATTGCACTTTGTTGTATACCGGTTATGCTGCTTGGAAAACCACTAAAGATCATTCAAGAACGCCGTCAAGCAAACGTAAGTTGAAGGATGCCTGTCACCATTTATCTTTTCTAATTCATCATGGCCATTCTTCACTTATTCACATTTTTCGTCAATAAGGATACAACATCTGGCAGTTGGTCATTGCGTTTTGCGTTTTTTTTTTCGCTCTGTGAGTGCTCATCCATAAATGAGTGAGATTTTAAAATTTATATAAAAAAATGAACAACTTCTTGATGCAACACAACTGAAGGGATCTACAATTTTATGTAGCTTTTTCGTAGAACGTGTAGCGCGCAACTTTGCGATTCAATCAAAAAATTTTAAGAAAACTAAATATTGATATTGTAACGACTGGCACAGTTAGCATCGGTACTTATTTGGAAAGATGTGACCACTTCGCAACCTAAATTTTTAATAATATCACAACTGTCTTAATCAAATTAAACCAGGTTTGGTAGATGGTAAAGGCAACCGAAGAAATAAAAAGTAACCAAACGTGGATAGATCTCTTAGGATATCTTGAATCCCCTCGCTGTGTGAAATTTTGGAATCTCGCTACATTATGCATTGTAGCCAAATTAATTTGCTGTTTATTCAACTTTGCACATGAACACGAACACATACATTATATATTAAAAATCGAGCATAATAACCTTATTTCGCACTCTCATCTCCTCTAAATGCAATGCATTAATTTCGGTTTTTAAAATTTTTGAAATCACGGTGTAGAAGTGTTTTAATCATTTAATTTGTTTTATTA